ACACATGTAAGTTATAAGTAACACATATCATTCTAAAATATATAGTAATATTTTTTTTTTTTGTAAAAAAGTAAACTAAATTTAATATGATTTTCTCATTAATTTTAAAATTTAAGAATAATTTTTTAACAAGCACCCGTGTAATACACGGGTATTGTACTAGTTTTATAGGAAAACAAAATATTTATATTAATGTTTGTTTTTATTTGTGATAATAATAAAAATGTTTTATTTCTTATAAAAATATACTATATTTCAATAAATATAACCAATACAGATATATCATTACATAAACCTTTATGAACATGTGTGGTCGAATATAATTTTTATATTATAATCCATTTTATGAACAAATATATAATACATATGATGTATGAAATTAAAATAATATCTTTTTCAATTATTTATAAATGTATTTTTTTAGTTTTATTTTTATATAAGTATTTAAATTTATCTAACTAATATTAGCAATAAATAAAAATAAGTTAATAAGTTTTTTATAAAATTTATTTTTTAAAATAAATATATTTAATATTATTTAATCATGATTTATAGTATATATTATAAATTTATTTTTATTATTATTTTGATTTTATTTTTTGAAAAATTTATTCCCACAATAATGGGAAAGAGAAAACATTGCATTAACTATAAAATGGCTAATCCCATGGAAGATGAGTTTTGCAATTCCCATCGAAATGGTCATTCCTTTCAAAAAAGTATATCAATCACGAGATAAGAAATGAGTAAGAGAATGATTATTTCATTCTATATCTCATTCTCTCATATCAACCATGCCATCAGTTGTTAAGATTCAATAAAAATCACAAATTCTTATCTACCTTACTGTTAGGCTTATCGATTGCTCACACTTCCTGTAACTGTTAAACAAGTTGACTAGTCACACTAATGCCATAGAATTTCATAATTCTACTTGTCTCATCTTTCATAGTATGACAACTCAATTTAAAAATATGTGTATGTATTAAAAAAAATATATAAGTATCTAATCGTTAGACCTGTTTACCAACACACTCGCTATACAAAATAAAAAAGTAAGTGAGACACAACTCATTAGTCTAATTAATTAATTTATAGTATTCCAATCATTCTCTTAATGATGCAGATGAAGCCGCGTTCGCTTATATGGAAAAATACGAGAGACTTCATATTTAGTTATCTATTTATTATTTCCTAGTTTATATTATGTTTATCTTTATTGCATATTATTTGGGATTATTATTTGTCTTGCCTAACAAGATAAATATTAATCCCAAATAATATGCAATAAAGATAAACATAATATAAACTAGGACACGGTGCATGGGGAGCGGCATAATATTTTTGAGTCTACTTGCACGGTTCGTGATCGTGTTTGTCGTTTCATCATTGACTCGGGTTCGTGTGAAAATGTGGTGGCCCAGGAAATGGTCGACAAACTTGGGCTTTCTTCGATTCCTCATCCTCATCCGTACACCCTCGCGTGGATTCGGAAGGGTACGGCGATTACAGTTGACCGACGGGTTTTGGTTTCTTTTTCTATCGGGCCACGTTATCGTGACGAGACTTGGTGTGACGTCGTGCCCATGGACGCCTGCCACTTACTCTTGGGTCGTCCTTGGCAATATGATCGGTCTGTGTCCTACGATGGCAGGTTAAATACATACAGTTTTCTGTTCGATGGTGTGCGGATCGTTCTTCACCCCGGGTCTCCCCGACCCTTACAGCCGGCTCCGCCTTCCCCGGTTCTTTTTCTATCACGTGCGGCTTTTGAGGAGGAGATGCGTTCGGCTTCGGTTATTTTTCTTGTTATTGGGTCGGGTTCTACTGTGGACGTTGATCCACCCGAGGTCCTACAGCCGCTTTTGGATGAATTTGGGGATGTGTTTCCCGATGAGTTGCCCGCGGGCCTCCCACCTTTGCGGGACATACAACACCATATTGATTTGGTGCCTGGCTCTTCGCTTCCTAATCGGCCACATTATCGGATGAGCCCGGCCGAGCACGAGGAGTTGCGTGGACAGGTGGAGGAGTTGCTGCAGCGGGGTGTGGTCCGTCGTAGTTTGAGCCCGTGTGCTGTTCCGGCCCTCATTGTTCCCAAGAAGGATGGGTCGTGGAGGATGTGCGTGGATAGCCGTGCCATCAATCGAATTACGGTGCGCTATCGTTTCCCTATTCCACGTCTGGACGACTTATTGGATCAGCTCCACGGTGCCACGATTTTTACAAAACTCGACCTCCGTAGCGGGTATCACCAGATTCGGGTCCGTCCGGGGGACGAGTGGAAGACCGCGTTTAAGACGCGGGAGGGGCTCTTCGAGTGGCTCGTTATGCCTTTCGGCCTTTCTAATGCGCCCAGTACCTTCATGCGTGTTATGAATCAGGCCCTTCGGGATTTGATAGGTAAGTGTGTTGTAGTTTATTTCGATGACATACTTATCTATAGTCGTTCTTCTGCTGACCACGTACAGGATCTACGCTCGGTTTTGCTTGTCCTTCGCCGCGAGTCTTTCTTTGCGGCGCCTCGTAAGTGCTTATTTATGGTGCCTTCCGTGTTGTTCTTGGGTTTTGTTATTTCGGCCGAGGGAATTCGTGTGGATGATTCCAAGGTCGCTGCCATTCGTGATTGGCCGAGTCCTTCGTCTTTCACCGAGGCGCGCAGTTTTCACGGTCTTGCTTCCTTTTATCGCCGCTTTATCGCCCATTTCAGTTCCATTGCTGCCCCGATCACTGACTGCATGACCGGCAAGTCCTTTGTTTGGACCCCGGCGGCCGAGGAAGCTTTCGTTTTGCTCAAGTCCAAGTTATCCTCTGCCCCGGTCCTCGTGCTACCCGATTTCTCACGTGCCTTCGAGTTATCCTGCGATGCATCCAAGGTGGGCATTGGTGCTGTCCTTAGCCAGGGGGGACGGCCGGTGTCCTTTTTCAGCGAGAAGCTTTCGGGTCCTCGTTCGCGGTACAGTGCCTATGATGTTGAGTTTTACGCTGTTGTTCAGGCGGTTCGCCACTGGCGGCACTATCTCTTCCACCGGGAGTTTGTCCTCTTTACTGATCATGCGGCCTTACGGCACTTATCTACCCAGGACAATATCTCTGCTCGTCACGCGGCTTGGACGGCCTTTCTTCAGCAATTCACCTTTGTGTTGAAACATCGTTCTGGATCTTCGAACAAAGTGGCTGATGCGCTTAGCCGCCGTTCCCTTTTGTTGACTGATTTGCGCGTCTCTGTCGTCGGTTTCGACGTGTTGCGTGAGGCTTATGCGGGTGACGTCTTCTTTGGGCCGATTTTCTTACGCCTGGTCGACGGCGTTTTTGAGGATTACGTGATCACCGATGGCTTTTTGTTTCGTGGGACTCGTCTTTGCATCCCGGATTGCAGCTTGCGCCTCAAGCTCGTCGCTGATCTGCATGGCGTCGGCCACGTGGGCAGAGACCGCACTATTGACTTGGTGAGCCGCTCTTACTTTTGGCCGAGTCTTCGGCGCGATATTGCTCGTTTTGTTAGTCGTTGTCGGATTTGCCAGGTGTCCAAGGGCGTAGCGGCTAATGCGGGACTTTACCGTCCATTGCCTATCCCGTCCCAGCCATGGGTCGCCATTAGCATGGACTTTGTCTTGGGTCTTCCTCGCACCCAGAGGGGTTTTGATTCGATTTTTGTGGTGGTTGACCGGTTCTCGAAGATGGTGCACTTCATTCCGTGTAAGCGGACGACAGACGCGGTGCATGTAGCCCAACTTTTTTTTCGGGAAATTTATCGTTTACATGGGCTCCCTTCTTCTATTGTCTCGGATCGTGATACCCGTTTCCTTAGCCATTTTTGGCGTAGCCT